AGCATGGGGAAGTGGGATGAGCTCGACTTTTCTCGACAAATGTTTCTGAATTACTGGATGACTGTAAACTGTAAACTTTATTGTTCTGCCATAAAAACTTCTTCCTTCCTGAAGACAGATTTTCCATGTGGCCTTTTTGTATTGTGTTACTTGCATGTTTTATTTTTGTACTTTGCTGTGTGTTTATTTAACTTTACTTAATTATTTCCCAAAACACAGACAGACACAAACTGACTGCTCACTCAGGCGTTATTCAGCTGCAGTGGCATGAAAGGCAGAAATGGGGGAATAAAGAGAGCAGACAAACAGAGATGAAGCCCAGGGACAACAGCTGGGGACAAGCTGGTCGATAAACGACAACCAGCAGCAGAAAATAAAGGCCTGGCTATTATAAGCAAAGACAAATATGCCACAGACAAAGACTAGTGAGGCCTGTGGTGACAAGAACACAGAACCGGTGAAATCTATGATTTAGGCTGTAGTGAAGGCATCAAGATGTCGGTAAACCGTCTCTGCCATTCAACAACCCAACCAGCAAATTTCAGAAGTCAAACAAAACCACATTTATCAGGCAATAATGGAAAAGCATATCCTCCTGCAGCTTTAGTGAAACAGCTGGAAGACGTATTATTTGCTGAAGTCTGAACAACTTTCCCTGTAGAACAGTTTGGATGAAACTGGACGTTCTAACTCCAACAAGCCTAATGAGAAGAATCCTAAGCTGGTCACCATCAAACTAAAGTTTGTAGTTTTTCTCAAACTGGACATCTGTTTGTCTCTGATCAGAGAAAGAAATACTAAACTCTAAACTATAACTCAGCACAGTTTCTGGGTAATCACAATGTTCAAACAATACATTAATGTTCAAACAAGGATTAACTATTTAAATCACCAATCCATGTTGTGATGCCATGACTAGGATTGCAAGTTCTTGTGCATATATGTATGCAGGATATGAAAGGTTTTGTGTATTTATAAATACTTGGCAGAACTGGAAGCAGAGGAACTGGGGAAGTTTCATCTGGATCTAAAGTCACACATGACTGCAGATGCAGAAATGTTTCAAATCATGATTTAAAACAAGAGAGGAAGGACAGATTAATGTTGAGTGGTAGAAAACGGTGTGAGCATAAGGTAAGTAACAGATATATAAGGAAGATTTACCTAAGAAGGCCATAAAAGTCATACTGAGCAGATTCAGCAGAGAAAAGAAAAGTAGATAAGCTGTTTATTTTCCCAACAAGCTCAGAATTACCTGTCATTTTTAAAAATGTTCCTCATCAGCATCAGTCCAGTACCTCATCATAGGATGTTTTTCTATCTCATCTTTCAAGTAAATTTCCTCATGGCAGTTCTTCACAGATGCAGTTCATTGGAAAACCCACAATGAGAGATTTCTCTGAGTTTTGCTGTAGCAGACAGCAGTCTGACAGCAGGCTGGTTCTTTTGCTGGCTCAGATTTTATTTTTTCTGGATACAGATTACGTAAAATTGTTACTCAAAATTCAGTATTTGTGTCAACAAACTGAGTCTGAAGGACAAAAGCAATAATCAGAGTAAATAGAAGGTTACAACAGATTTATCTCAATTCCACACCTTACATGAGATACATGGTGATAAAATGTCAGATTATTTTTCAGCATGAGATACTGATAATTGATTACTAAAAGATAATATTAACATTATATTATTACTAAAAAAACCCAACCCTGTACCGCTATATCTAATATTTTTTTCAAAAGTAATTTTTTACAGCAAACGACTCTTATCTGTAAAGGACCTAAGATAAGCATAATGCAACATTTCAAAAATAAGACTGTTATCCATCAGAATTCAGTCACACATGGTTGATTTGGGCCAAATAATAAATCTTCATAACGAATCAATTTTAGGTTCAGAACGGTTTTGACTGAATTTTATGAAATCGTCCCCATACTGGATGATGTGTCTCATGGCGCTCAGAATCAGAGCATCAACCTCTCTGTTCATGTTGATTTCCTCATGATAGTTCTTCACAGGGAACATGCAGTTCAGTGGGAAGCCCATGTTCGCCTGCGCTGCCTTCATCTGAAAAAGAAAACATGTTTCATCAAACCACAGCTTACAGTTCAACAACCCGACTTCCTACTGGTGAACCATCACTGCTCAGCAGTCACACAGGATCAGTACAAGGTGTTTCAACATAACTGCAAAATGTCAAAAGTGATTTGACATTTTGTATGTTTTTTATTTTTGAGCAGGCCCGGATGATGTTCAGTGGCAGCATTCACATGACTAAAAAGATATTAGACTCTCAATGAAAAGAAATACAGGCCATTATTAACCCAGGTATAAAGGTAAATACCATAAAATATGTAAAGAAATACAATAGTTACCAGTACTAAATGGAAGATTTATTTTTGCAGGTATGATAAATAGAATCTAATTGGATTAATAATATAATAATCCTAATTTTCTAGAAATGAGGCTTGAATTGCTAATCTTAAATAATTGTATAAATTTAATTACATTACCTGTTACTGTTATTTTAGATTTAAGATATTTTATGCCAGCCCTTGATAAAAAAATTCAGAGTATTTATAGATATTACTGTTATCCATTTGTTTAAAATAGGACTAAACACATGAGAGATAACTGTCAGGATAAACAACATGCATTAAAAGAAACAGAGTAAAGTTCTTTTCTAGCCATCAGCCTTTACTTCTGTTTACCATATATTATGTATGCATGAACACTTTTTAAATATTTTTTACAACAATGCTTCTCTTTATATAGGCAAAAGAAAGCAATGTCTTAAAACGTTTTTTAGAAGAACAGGCACATATTTTCTGCCATGTTAGATTCTATTTATCTGGTCAAAGAACATAAAAAACATCTTCATTTACAAAAAAACTCACAGATGGAAAATCTTTCCCACTTAACACACATACCAGAAACTTGTGTCAATTGAAAAAAAAAGACATTCAAAGCACTCTATAGATTAAATGTTGCAAAGTTTACAAACCAAGTTCCAGTTATATATTTTCACACTTGTCACAAAAGTTTTTTTTTATTCAGTAGTAAACTATTCTTAATGGGCATTCAATGATTTACTAGATATTTATGAAATTACTAATCAAACAAACCTTTTCTTTCACTCCTTTAATCGCATATACGTTTATTTCCGCATGCATCTCAAGAGGAAGGTCATCAATTTTGGTGAGAATGGTCACCTGTGGAATATCTGTCAGCATAACAGTAAAAAAAACATTAATGATGGTTGTGTTTCTGAAGTAAAAACACCGTAAATCATGACAAAATCCAAAGGAAATCATTAGGAAGGGAACAACAATAAACTATCAATGGTCTCACACTCCAGCACTCACAGACCAACACACCTGAATCGACTGGTCAAAACAGGCAGAACTGATTTAGTGAAATCTCAAGATATGCAGAGGCGCAAAAAGTGGGTATGCAGCGTATGCAACGCATAGG